TCTCTGTGTCTCTGTCTCTGTGTCTCTCTCTCTGTCTGTCTCTGTGTCTCTCTCTCTGTGTCTCTGTCTCTTTATCTATTCAAAAACAACGAAGTAGAGTCAAAGTTCACTGTGACGTCACGAACAGCCGTAAAATGTAGCTTGTTACTGAGCTAACATGAAGCTAACATAAGCTAGCTCCGTGAAGCTAACATAAGCTAGCTCCGTGACGCTCCAGCAGCTGATCAGCCTGAAGGTTTCAGGTGAATCCAGGTGAGAGCTCCGCTGAACGGTCTGTCCACACGTTTGATTCCCTCTGTCTCATTATCAGCTCAAATCCGACGAACCACCGGTTCACGAGCAGCAGAGTAAGAGCAGCAGAGTAAGAACAGCAGAGTAAGAACAGCAGAGTAAGAGCAGCAGAGTAAGAGCAGCAGAGTAAGAACTCGGTGGCAGTGAAACCACTTCACCTTCAGCTCTGATCAGGTTCAGCTGCTGAAGTTTCTTTATTGAATAATGTTCGAGGTGACGTGATGAGCCTGAGAACACGTGATGGACCCGGTGGTTGTGTGATGACTGAAGTGAAACTGTGACACTGATGAACTCGGTTGTGTTTCAGCTCTCAGCCTCGGCACCATGACCAACCCCCTGAGGGCCGAAGTGGTTCGACTCTATAAAAACGTGGGTATTTGATCTTCAGCAGCCGGTTGCTAGTTTGAATCCTCAGGGATCAGCCGGTGTCCTGCTGCACTAGATGATACAACTGTTTATAACAGGTTGAACTGAAGGTGATTGAAAAGTTGTCATGTGGTTTCAGACTCACAACACGAAACACGTTCACAGATGAATGACTTTTATTTCACTGACTCTTAATGACATCACAAGTTTCAGCTTCATTTCTGGAGAAAGTGGAGACGTGTCGTCTCTTGGTTTAAAACATCGAACCTTCAGAGCTAAATGATTTTCTTAACAAAGTGTTTAAGTGTCTTTATTAATGAGGCAACGTGTGTTCAATTTAAAATCCAAAACTCTTCCTTAGCTCCTCTACCTCGGCCGGGAGTATCCCAAAGGAGGCGACTACTTCAGAGACCGGCTGAGATCCGCGTTCACCAAAAACAAGTCGGTCCAGGACCCGGAGCAGATCAAGGAGATGATCGCTCGAGGGGAGTACGTGGCCAGAGAGCTGGAGGCGCTGTACTACCTGAGGAAATACAGAGCCATGAAGAAACGCTACTACGAGGAATGAAGACGTCTCCACACATCAGAGGTGTACGTGGAAAACATCTTTAACTTTGTCTCTAGCTGGTTCGATATCAGACGACTCAGCAGCAGCTTCCAGGTTTTAGCTTTTTATTCCTGTAAAATCAGCAATGACAGAAAACATTTAAATAAAAGTATAAAAAAGAGGAGTTGATGAGTCGTCCTTCAGACACAAACTACAGAAAGACTCAAGTCTTCAAGTAACTCGTACTGGCAGGAGGGGGCGGGAGGGGACGCTGAAACTGGGCGATGCCAGCACAGACGCCGTCAGAGGGTCGGGGGGGCGGAGAAGTCACCATCAGCAAGGTTCGCTCTGCAGATCGGGCAGGTGGTGTTATCCTGTGGCGGGAGGAGACAGTGATCCGTCTATAAAACACGTCCACTCAGTGAAAATCATCTGCACTTCGTAGTTTCAACAGGGTCGGTGAGCTGTTACCTTTAACCACCGGTCAATACACTGGACGTGGTAGTCATGGAAACACGGCAACATCCTCAGCTTGTCCCCCTCAGTGTATTCACAGAAACAGATCTGACACCTGACAGGATCCCGGGAAAGAAAAATGAGTGAGACGTTTAGAAGGAGGATCAGAAGAAAGACTGAGGTCCGACCCGACGCTGGACTCACTGAGTGTTCCCGGCGCTGTTGGTGGACTGGAAGGTTTTGGTGGGAAATCTCTGGATTTGCCTTCGCGTCAACTTCTTTGACACAACGGCACCTTGGTGTTCCTCAAACGCCAGAAGAGCCTGAAGGACGGGCAGACGGACAGAACGAGTCAGCAGGGAACAACGGGAAACTTTCTTCTTCGCTCTAGTGTTATGGTAACAGGCGGCCAGAGGGGGCGCTGTGTGTCCTCCAGCATTCCTCTCTCTCCTTGACGATGGTCTTCCTCACCTCGTAGTCGTTTCCCTGAGCGTCCTCTGACATGCTGGGCACGGCGTTCCTCCCTCTGGTCCGCCCACGTCTTCTCTGCCGACCAATCAGATCTGGAAACAAAACTACGGTTTCAGTTCACGTCAAAAAACAATTATTAAACAAAGTTAAAAAAATAAGTCACAATAGCTTAACACTAGAAAAATCCAGGCTGAGGAAGTCCTGTAATTTAACGAGTTATTATTTAAGTCTGTAGAGCGACGGCTAAAATTAAACAGTGAATACGAGACGCTCTGATTATCATCGTACCTTCTTCCACGCCAGCAGGGGGAGCCACTGCAGCCAGCACATGGGACATCCAGCTGGGTTCCATGTGGGAATAATACTGTAGAGAATAAATCACAACTTTACAGGACGGAAGCCAAGCAGCAAGACTTCCTCCACATTACTGTGCAACTCTGCTACAGATGCACAGGTTCAGAGAAACAGAAGTTTGTAAAAGCTGCTGGTCCCGTTTCAGTTTGAAAACTCTGGGCTCCGTGTTAGTGATGACGTAGAAACTCAACCTGACTGACCCGGTTGTCTTTGCTCACAGCTGTTGTCCAATTCAAGATTTTTCACTTTTAGCGATTGCTGCTTTTATGGAAGTCAAGTTTTTTCTGCAACTAACAACGTTAGTGTAAACAGGAAGCCAACAGCTCGTCCAGTGTGCGAGTGGTCATGTGATTCATATATGGAGCCAGGTGGTAGTACGGATGAAGACAACATCAAACACCAACCAATAAGAAACATCAGGCTAAATTCTATTAGAAACATGAAGTGTAGCGGAGTCTCACCCTGTGGTGGCTGTGCTGGTAGAGGCGCTGGTGGTGCTGGTGGTGCTGGTGGCTGCTGTGCACCTCCTCTTGGTCAAACTGGGCCTGAATGAACAAAGGTAAAGTGTTTCACTCTGTCCACTCTGCAAGGTGACAGGTCTGCGGGTGACGACTCCTACCTGCAGGCTCTGCGCCAACGCCTCATCTTCCTCCATTTGTGCCGCGCGAACCATGGCCTCCTCATCGTCACTGATGATGATCTCCTCCGCTGCTGAAGAACAAACGACCAATGACCATGAACAAGGATCGTCCCGGTCCACTTTAGCCACAATGTCCTGGCTGTGCATGTCTTGTGTTTGGCAGGTGAACTGAGTTTGCACCAAATGTTGGACTATGTGGTGTTTAAAAAGATTGCCTCATAAATTTTAGAACCAAACACAAATATGTTTATGTACATGTTTAAAAACAAGGGCTGTACGATATTACGAAAACATGCGATAACGTTGTTTAATATCGTGATGACGATATGACTTGAGATAAATAAACAAACAGTCCCTGTCTACTGACGCAGAGACCACGGACATCCCCAAAGCCCGGCCGCAGCGCCACCAAGTCGGAGCCATGCAGAGCTCAGTCCACTCAGACTTAATCTGGGTCTCTTCTTACATGTTTGGACTGTGAAGTTATTTTTTTTTTTTTTACAGTCAAACCAAACGGAGCGTGACACCACCTCCTCCAGCTCCACATGCATTTACTACATTTATAAAGTGTTGTTTTTACCCACACCGAGTTTAGCAGGGTATGTCTATCACGCCGGTGATATCACCAGGACATTTTTCGATGTATTGTGCAGCCCTAGTAAAGAAACTGTTTTCTACATTGTGTCCTCACCTGTTGAGGTGTTTCCTCGTTCACCGTTCAGCCATCTCCTCTCCTCCGCTGTCAGAAAGGACAGAGAGTCAGAGGCCGGCAGCAACGAGGACGACGATGGAGCCGTCGTCACTCTTTCCCTCCTCAACTGGCTGACAGAACCAGTACTGGCTTCTCCTGTGGAACCTGCCACAGCCAAAGCCACCTCCTCTACACCCTCCTCTGATGCTGGAGTGAGGTAGGAGGAGGAGGAGGAAGAGGAGGAGGAGGAAGATGAAGCTGAGGAGGAGAAACAGGACGCGGTTGACAGCGGGCTGCCCCGAGGAAAAGCTCTCAGAGATGAACTAGGAACAAACAGAACCCTCTGCTTTCCCATCGCTGCTTCCAGCCGCCTGCGTTTGGATCCACACGAGGACCCTCGTTCACTGCTGAGCGATTGTTCTGGACGACCCCGTGAACCCCCGACCTCCACCTGAGGACAGAGACCCACAGCAGTCAACATCTGCCAGGCCAACACACACACACACGTACATACACACACAGAAACATCTGTCATTACTGTGTATTGCAGCTGTGACTTACAGAGCTGAAACATTCCTCTGTGATTGGCCTACGTCTCCTCCGTTTGCCGAGCTGTGGACTGAAGCAAACAAGCACAATTAGACTCTAGGGACGCTAAGCAGCACTGTGCCGGCACGAGCACTTGCGAACTCTGGACTTGATGCAGCTGCGGCGTGGGCGGACAGGGACCGGGGGAGACGGCTCCGTGTTGTGCGCTTTGTGCTCCTCAGGAAGGATGAACGTGTGAATTTGGGGGCCGATCGTACAATTCACCGTGGAGTAAAAAACAACATCCTTTTCACAAACGAAAAGAAATAGAACCCAAATAAAACCAACCGTCTGTTCAGACAAATTCACCGCTGCTCATTAATCATGGATTAGCGTTTACAGTAAACTCAATTGTGTAAATACTCGAGTTTTTTTAGCTAAATATTCAACTTACTGAAAAACTGCACTTACATTAAGTGTCAGTGAACACAGATTTCTAGTTGTGATACTGGACGTCAGGATCAGAAGTATTATTCACATACTGTATGTAGACACACTCTGGATCATAAAGCATTTTACACTCCGTTTTACTCGGTACCTTATTTGAATCATCGTCTCCTACTATGCGGTTTTACTACAGGAACACACGTATCTGTTTTCTCACACAAATCTCAGAAGTATGTGCACATCAGTCTGTCACATCATCTACGACTGTGGAGCGAAAACTTTTCACAGAGCAGAAACTGATCACACCAACAATGGAAATCAAGTCCAGAAACATCACAGACAATCCGTCAGTGGCTCTGGACCCAGAGATGCTGGGACTTCTGCTGGTGGCCACTGACTCCTGCTAACAGCTCCTGCTAACAGCTCCTGCTAACAGCTCCTGCTAACAGCTCCTGCTAACAGCTCCTGCTAACAGCTCCTGCTAACAGCTCC